CCTAGGTATTCTATAGAATACCTAGGCAAAATATAAAATAAACTGTTAGTTTCATACATTGCCTAAACGTTCTAGGCAGAGTTTCCTTACTGGAGTCCTGCAGCCATACTTTGATAAACATACTATAACTGCAGATGTCATCCTTCTATACTGTCACTGTGCACTTTTGGAAGTGGTTCCCAACATTTCTGAGGGACAGACTGCCAACATCTTCAGTACGTAAGTTATGCTATTAAATGAAAGTACAACCAATTTCTTTACCGAAGTCTCCTGAAATGTAGATGACCACGTAAAAGACTACACGGAATCACAAACCAAAACCCAAAACCTACAAACCCAACATCTCATTCTTTTATTTAACCATCAACCATAAAAAACTCCTATAATGTCATAATTAATCAAACAGCAAAAAAATATGTCATAGAAAATGGCAGCATGAGAGATAAAAAATGTGTTAAAAATTCTGGTTGGGAAATCTTAAGAAAGACCACTCAGAAAAGGCAGCTCAGCTGAGAAGCATAGAAAATGATAATTCTAGTCACAGACAACAAAACTGAACGACCAGATTCACTGTCCCTTACCGACATGTGCTCTGAAACATCAAATTACGAAACTCGTCCACGTGCCAATATCACCTGTTCGACTAACAATGCCATTCCTCCCTTTGGTTTTTCAAAATTATTTTCTGGTTCTACAACTTCAACGAAATGCATCTGTATCATCTTTTTGACTAAAATATCACAGACTTTCTTCTACATAATTAATCCAATGCAAGACGATTAATAAAACTTCCAATAACAAAGTAATTATAACTGAACATTACAATGTGTCTTACTACAGCAGCCATAATAAAACATTCCTTATTCAAGTGCGGGATGAATTGTATGAGGATTAGAGCAAAAACAAATCATTTACTTCCACGCACATCACTAACCTTCATCTTTTTATGCGGGTTGAATATGGAGGGGCTTTACTTAAAATATTATGTTTACCTGTGCGTCATGCTATAAAATGAGCTGTAAATTTCAGGGAACAGTTTCAAAACATCCACTTTTCTCCACTCGAACCCTGCGTTTATTAAGCCAAAATCAACACATATAGCAATGTATGTTTTCACTCGTTTCATCTCCTAAATTACTGAACGAATTTTTATTAAATTTAGCGGTTATGGGTTCTGTCAAATTCAGTCCTACAAATGTTAAAATAATAAAAACGCTATGATAATTTCTAATGTGTACTAATAAAGAAGAAACTAATGAGATTTTATATAGTTCTCTGATTTTTTAAAAGTCACGTTCCATTCTGCAAAATTCACTTTCACAGATTTGGAATTACAACGAAATACACGGGGGGGGGGGGGGGAGGTCAGATGTCAAAACAAGCCCTACCCAAAGGGTAATATAATTTTAATTCATATCAGTCTGCCGTAAAAAATGGCTGGTGGCACATGAACTTTGTTCATTTAATATAGATTTCATTAAAATCTGTAAAACTCATTCAAAACCATTTCCATGATAGTGAACATTTAACGAAATACAAGGGAAAATAAAAGCTAACTCTGTCCAGTGCCACGAGACACAGTGTGATTAAACGGAACAATATAACTTTATAA